GTACTGTTGTTATGAAACACAGAAGAAGGAACAATCAAGCTCAACCTCCAAAGTGCTTAACAAAATGAACAAGAGAATGTATCTGTTCTTGACACAAGATACTAACTCAAATATGCAAACAAACTTGCTTCCTAGCCACTTGTTTCCTGTAAACAAGATCCCTTGCTTCCCTGGTTACCTGGTTGTCACACTTGTGACCTAGCTGCCTTGCTTACTTGCCAAATATGGTAATAGGTGGGGTGGGATTCTCCTCTCTATCTACTATAATCAAGCTCCTTATATACTACTCTCAAATTAATTACATAATCCGTGACAATGTGACCTGATCCGCTGATCCGGTTCTAGAATGTTCTAGTTCAGGCTTCTGGAAGGTTCTAATATAGGTTCTGGGTCAGACTTGCCAAATATAGACATGTTACCCTTGGTTCGGTTCAGAGTCTAGACCGGTCCCTGGTCTAGAGCAGGCCTAGGCCTTGTGCATATAGATTTGATTCAAAGGTTTGCAACATTTATGCTGAGATTCTTTATATGTTCCATAGCTATTGTGCATGAAAATGAATTTATAGGGTCCATATGTTATCATTCATATGGTGGTCATATTGACTGCTCATTATCTCCCCTTTTCATAAATCTTGACCGTCCTTGGTCAGTTCAAGCAATAATATCTGACTACATTTTTCATCACTTCCAGCTACATTTTTCACTGGGTTTTGTTTTTATGCCATGCAAAATATGAAGATCAAGTCCAGTTTCAGCTAGGTGGAGCTTCACCATTTCCCTGTTTGAATCTATCATCATCACTGCACTGTAGTACCTCTGTTGTGCCCTATAAGTTGGTCTGGTTATCTCTGCAGGTACCCTATATGTATATGGTTATTCTATCATTTTTCCAGATTTTTATCTGATTTTCCAGTAATTTTCTGTCAATTTCTTTGTCACTTAACCAATTTTTAATGTTTCCTTCAGTTATCTTGATATCTGGTTATCCTAAATGGTTTCGTTGAGGCCTAATGTCCTCTTGTATGCCAAACCTCTCGAATGACTATGATTTTCTAGGTCTTATCTCGCTCGGCGATCTCGGCGATGGAATCTGCTGCTAGATCTCCGAACGAACGGATCGTCGGTCTGGTCTGATTCGACTTCGGTCCGGTCGGACCTCGATTCCTCCGATCACAAGGCTGTGCGCTTTGTGCTTCTTTCCCCTTGACCACCACCACTTGCTCTTCGGCGACCTCTGACCCTGCCCTACGAGCCTCGAACCTCTGACCCTGCCCTACGAGCCTCGTGTGCTCGTCGGGGGCGCTTCTGGCGACGCCTCTCTCGGCGTCTTCTTGCTGCCTGCGTGCACTGCTTCTCACGGCCGGCCCATTCCACTGGGGCAACACGTCATCGCTCGACGCTCGCGATATCGCGCGTTCATCGTCGTTCTTGGCGGCCCTGTGCACTCATATCGTCGAATCTATCAGATGAGAACGCTTGGATGGTGGGGTGGAAGGAGCTGGGGACGGGGAACGGCGGTCTTTGCCGTTTGGTAGGGGTTTTTGGGCGGGGCATTCTGGTGAGTCCCCTAGTTGTGTTGTACCTGTTCGACGAGCCTCGTGTTGCTCGTTCGTTCGCCTCCCCGATAGACTAGCGCCTTCCCAACAACAGCCGGTCTCGCTGTCCCGGCACTTCCTGCGGCTGTGGGCTTATTGCGCGGCTCCCCGTCATCGCTCGACGCGCAAGATTTCTTGCTAATTCCGCCGTTCTGGGCGACTCTCTTCGCTCGAATGACCCCTCGCGATCCGTCTGGGTCTCGGTAGGATGGATGTAAGGCTTTCTGGGGTTGAGGAGGGTTGAGAAGGCGAAGATGTGGGCGGGTGCTCGCTACCTAATCTATTGCGGGAAAACCGTCGTTCACACTCGTAGGCGCGTCACGAACGACGCGTCATGGCTACCTCATGTACAGCCCTATTGCAATATATTGGGGTTACAGTGGCTGCATCGCGGACGCTCGGTGTCGATCGTCCTTGCAATGTCTTTGTGTCCCTTCGTGTCCGCGCAGCCGCTCCGACTTCCGAGATCTCTTCCCACGAGTTCTTCTTCGAAGTTTAGGGCCCTTCTCTCTGACTCATGGCGCGAATCCCGTGCTTCTTAGTCAGCCTGGTCTCTGTCCTATATAAGGATGAGCTTAGCTCGGCTCCTCGTCCTGGCCCCTACCTTTATACCATTACGTAATTTGACTTAATCTACTATTATTGTTTAAATCAAATAACCATACTATGCAATTCCCATTCTGGAATGTGCAGTTATCAAAGTTAGAGTCATGACCTGATTCAACTTGATCAAGTTGAATGATCTGAGCCTTGATGACCTTGATATGTGATAGTATATACTAGTATTAAAGAGCAGTGACCCTAGGTATTCAGCCATTCCTTTTTGGTTGACAGGCCCGAGTTCAGAGCTCTGGGCTATAGTCCAGTCATACAATATTGCATACTATGATTGTGAGGGTGACAAAATGGGTAACATAGGTAAAATGGAATGCATAATGTTCATGATTCATATCTCATAATTGCAGAGACCTGCTCCACTATTTATATTTTCAAATTTCAAATTTGGAAATTCAGACTGAGTGAAAAGTTTTGTTGTAATAGACTTGAACTCTCCAAGCCAGTGGTTCATTTCCAGATGGGAGACACTTGCCATCACCAAGCTGAAGTTTTCCTCTGTGATCCAATTTGATCCATGAATCACGGATATGTTTCATTTTCTGAGGACACTCCCTAGCAAAGTGACCTGTGTGATCACAGTAATAACATCTTGGCTTGTCAATACTGTTATTTGATGTGCCTGATTTGCCACTGAATGTTTTTACAGGCTGATTTGCATATTCAGACTGGACATTCTGACTGGACATTCTGACTACAAGTGGACTGAACCACTGGCAGTGCAGAGAATCTTATTGGTGGAGTACTATATGTCAGCTCAAATTCAGCTTTCTTGGCTTTAACATAGTACTCTGTGATTAGTATTGTGTCCATGCCAATAGACAATCTTTCTGCAATGTCTATCATATCCTGTAATATGATAGAGCCATTCTTCATTGACAAGGGCTCTGTGATGACTTGCATGTTCATCAGCAATTTAGACATCTGTGAAATAATCTTGCTAATTTCCATTGCAAACGTTTGTGTTAGCCTGAGGATATACCATTCACATAACATCACATGGAGTGATTGTTTTGAGCTAGGTATTACTTCTGTAATCTTTGCAAATTGGACATTATAAACATGAAGCTTTGCACATTCACTTTGTGAGATATTAGGCATCATAACCAAATGCTTCAAGGTGCTGACAAAATTATCCAATTCAGGTTTGGACTGCATATAAACAGCTCTGACTTCATCAAGAAATTCACTATAACTAGAGAATGCTTGATAACTGTCAAAAGCTTTCCAGCATAAAGATTTAATAGCTGGAGCATAGCGGGTCAAACAATCCTTCCTGTCCTGCTCATCTACAATAGGAGCATATTGGATTATTCTTTCTATTTGATATATATAGTCCTCCAATTCATCAGGATCATTTGTTTTGAGCCTTGGACAATCCTTATCCTGAACATCTGGAACTTGAAATAGAACCAAGAATGACATAATTTTGACCAGCAATTCTGGGTAGGAGATCAAAATGAAGAGAGAAAAAAACTGAATTGAAGAGAAAGTAAGATTTGATCAAGTTTCTTTGTCCTTGTCAAATAATTGGCAAGTAGTGTTGTCTTCTCACTACTTGGGTATATCTAAGCTTGTACTTAGATCTTTGATCTGTTGGAAAGTGTGCAAGATTCTTTTTGAATTATGCAATTAGATTTCTGAATGAACCCCCTCGCGGTGGGCTCCAATATAATACACTGGGAAAGTGAACTAATAGAGGAGTTCAATCAAGACATCAACCCTATTAATCTACTAATCCACTATTTGTTTGTGTATGTGTGTGTGTTTGGGGGTTCGAGTTGCAGGAAACAACTAACAGATTCAGAATATCCAAATATAGCAATAGAATCTGCTTATTGAGAACTTTCTGCAGATCACTTGGTACTGTTGTTATGAAACACAGAAGAAGGAACAATCAAGCTCAACCTCCAAAGTGCTTAACAAAATGAACAAGAGAATGTATCTGTTCTTGACACAAGATACTAACTCAAATATGCAAACAAACTTGCTTCCTAGCCACTTGTTTCCTGTAAACAAGATCCCTTGCTTCCCTGGTTACCTGGTTGTCACACTTGTGACCTAGCTGCCTTGCTTACTTGCCAAATATGGTAATAGGTGGGGTGGGATTCTCCTCTCTATCTACTACAATCGAGCTCCTTATATACTACCTGGAGCAAGAAGACCAAGTCCAACAAAGACATTATTTCCCCTTACGTCATCAACACATTTTGAGTTTAACATTAGAGACACTAGAGGAGGCTCAGGCACTTGCGCTCACGGAAGTCTTGGTAAAGCCTGGGATATGTCATGTGATACTGACTACATGGAGCTGTACTATGATGTGCGGCCTAGCAGCTGCAACATCCAGTTTGTCAGGGGAACCCCCCTTTTGGCCCCTTGGAGACGTCTCCGATTCCGGTCCGATTCCAATGGCGTCTCCGGTCCGGCCCTCCATCTCGCGCGCACAATCACCGATCCGTTAACGCCTGTCAGGGGATGAGGGTCCAGGTGCCTAGTTGATACCAAAGCCGGGGGAACAGCCCCACAGCCAACTACTTAAGTACAGGGCTATCTGCGCACGGACCAGTCACGTGATCAGTCACAGCTGTCACATCACATGCTCCCCTTACACCAACCCCTCCTCAAGATCCGTCGCCTCGACGGATAGGCGGAGTGTAGGGTTCTGCAAACTCGTATTCGGGGTCGCCAGGGAAATAGAGGTTGTCGCCTATAACACGCGATGATTGCGCAGGTACGCCCCCTCGTTGGGCCGTCTGTCGATTGCGCTGCCGACCGTGCGCTACCGCGTCAATCTGCATGGGAGTGGAAGCCACACTGGTATCCATCCGCATGGGAGAGGCGCTTTGGGTATGCGAGACTCGGGTAAACGTCGACGGAGTTCCCATAGCCACCGAGGGTGCGAAGGGGAGTAGGGTTAGGCTGGGGAGTAGGGAGAGTGGAAGCCGGGGCCCGTATAGGTTGGGTAGTGGCGGCGGCGGGCTGACGGGGTAGGGTAGATGGGAAGAGGGGAGAAGACAGTCGCGAATGCCCAGCTGGCCCGCCGGCGGCAGTCGAAGCCCTCGGATGAGCGGCAGGACGTGCGGCAGTGGGGGCACGGGGCACCTGAGACTGGCCACGGGGCACAGTGGACGAGCGGTGCGGAGCACGGTCGACATCCATCTTAGTGGCGTGGGACGCAGGCACAGGCGTGACAGGAGGAGGGGGAGCAGGTCCCTCAGCAGACGGTGGCTGACGTTGCTTCTTCGCACGGACACGCTTACGCATGAACCGTTTCCCAAGCGCAATAAGCGCTTCACCGATTTGCTGGTCGGTTCCCCGGATAGAGACCCGGCGCTCGCCAGGCGCAGCGCGATCAGAGTACGCGCAACTGAGCACCAGAAGTGTCATGAGCTTGGTGGAGACCCTTGCCGCCACGACCCACGATATGCCCGACAGCCGAGTCAGGCACCACAAGCGTATCAAGAGAAGCGCGTGACAGTGTCGGGCGCAGTAGGGGGGAAGGTTTCGGCAAGTGGTATGGAAGTGTGGGCCGCAGCGATGACGGCAGGGGTAGGGGCCGGGATTGTTGGAAGAACCCAGCGACTGCCGTCCCAGACACCGTGGAATGTAGGACCAGGGGAAGGGGGAGCAGGGGGTGGAGCAGGCGTACCATACTCAAGACGGTCGAGACGGTCGGTGAGGCGAGTAATTTCGCTCTGCAGGAGCAGGCAGTACGAATACAGGTCGACAGGGACGCCAGGAGTCGTCATTGGAGGAGAGAAGGCAAGCACAGTAGGGTGAGGACGAATATAGGAGATAGAGAGGATCAACTGGGGCTAGAAGAGTGCCAGAGTCGATGTAGAGGCTTTGGTATGCTGTCAGGGGATGAGGGTCCAGGTGCCTAGTTGATACCAAAGCCGGGGGAACAGCCCCACAGCCAACTACTTAAGTACAGGGCTATCTGCGCACGGACCAGTCACGTGATCAGTCACAGCTGTCACATCACATGCTCCCCTTACAACGCCCCCCCAACGGTCGCCCTGGGACCTTGCCTGCGACGCCGCCCAAGCCTTCTGTGCCCGACAGCGGCAGCTACGGACAAGCAGTATATAGTCAGCTCCCTAGCAGGCGGACCCTTAGAGTTTCTTCTCTTTGGATCCTCCCCTGCTAGGTCAGCTTCATTTGTATTTGCTTACCAATGTTCACGCTTTGGATCCTCCCCTGCTAGGCCTTGATCTCAGGCCTCCGGGGTTGCCCTTACAGCAGAAGAAACTCTCTACGGGATCGATCAACCGGACAAGATTGCCAGGTTCGGCGCTGACTCAGGCTCGGAGTACGAGTCCGTTCCGCCCTCATCACCGCCTCTGCCACTTGTCCCCTCCTCCTCCACTCTTGTAGTCCCCGCACCCGTCATGCCGTCCGGAGTCACTCCCACCGCAGACGACCGGCTGGACTCACTCGAGGCGAAAATCGATAGCCTAACTGAGGCCCTTGCTTTACTCACCAACCAGGCTTCCGCTGCCGCTGCCGCCGCTAATAATGCTGGCGGACCCCAAATACCATCGCCGGAGACGTCGATTCCGACTCCGACTCCGGTCCAGGGCGATTCCGAAGCCCTCTTTGGCGATATCAACCTCGCCTCAAAATTGGTCTTGCGACCAAACCCCCCGTTCACCTTCAACGGCAACCGGAAACGCGGCCGCGTCTTCCTCTACGCGGTCCGCACCTACGCCCGCCTCGCCCCTGAGGCCTTCGTGGTCAACGGAGAGGCGAGCAAGGAAAAGGCCGTCCGCTATGCCATGTCGTTCATGGCAGAAGGACCCGCTCAGCAATGGGCGGAGCGCCACGGAAGCAAAGCCCCATTTCCGTTTCCGTCCTGGGGCTTGTTCGTTTCCGAGTTTCGACTCCAGTTCGTCGAGGAGAACGAGCAAGATCACTCTCTCTCCAAACTGGAGACTTCCGCCTATCACATGGGTACAAAGGATGTCTACCAGTACACCGACGACTTCAAGGACCTGATGGACCTCGCCGGATTCGAAGACGCGTTGGTCAAGGTGACCAAGTTCCGCCACGGACTTGATCCCCTGATCAACAATGGAATCACGTCCTTGAACGATCCCCCGGACCTCCGGGATTACCTTAGCTGGCGCACCCGGGCCTTCCGTCCAATACGAGGCCCTGGTCCGGGCCAAGCTGATCAAGTCAGCCGCCCCCAAGACGCCAGGCGGTTTGATTCGGACTCCGTTTCCGGTCAACCGCATCCCGGCTCCGGCCCCTTTCCGCCCGGTGGCTCCGGTCGTGCCACCCGCGGCCCGCGCCCCTGCTCCGGCGCCTCCAGCTCCCATTCCCATGGAGTTGGATCGCGCTAGGGCTCGGGGTGCCCCTCGTCACGCCTGCTTCAGGTGCGGCGACCCAAACCATCTCGCCCGGGATTGCCCCCTCCCCGCCGATGTCCGCTCAATGGACATCCTCGACGAGGTGATCCAACAACTCGGTGACAAGATGTTAGCGGAGTTGATCGCCCGCTACTCGGACACAGCTGCGCTGCCGGAGACGGCCGCGGAGTCGATGCCCGGAGAGGATTTTGTCCCCCCGCGACGAGTGACTGGTGTGCCCTCGTTCGCGTCCATAAATCGTTTTGCCTCCTTGTATGATGAATGCAGTTCTTTGCCCTACAACGAGCCTGAAACGAAAGACATACCCTCTCCTACCCCCGCTTCGATTCCGATTCCGACTCCGCCTGCGACTCCGGTCATTGTCCTTCGTCGCCTCACTGCCTGGGAAAAGAAATTGCCCAAGCAGTATACCGTCGCCGCTACCCCTGGGACAAACTCCCTCCACCTCCCGTTGGAGCTAGAGTCCACCACCAGCGCACTGAGGCTCTCGCTCTCTGGTCTGGTTGATTGTGGTGCCACCTCCGACTTCATTGACACGAACTTATGTCGCTCGGAATGGCATTCCGGTCCGCACCCTCGATCAGCCGATTCCGGTTTTCAATGTCGATGGCACTCCCAATGACGCAGGCTCCATCAAACAGATCGCGGACTTGGTCCTGCGCTACAAGGGGCATGCCGAACGAGTCCAACTGGCCGTCACCCATCTTGGCAAGCAAGACCTCATCCTGGGGTATTCCTGGTTGCGGAAACACAACCCAGAGATCAATTGGGAAACCAAGGAGGTCAAGATGACACGCTGCCCCCGCAACTGCTCGACATGCCGGGAGGAAGAGCGCGTCGAACGGACCGAGCTGCGGCGACTCCGGTCGCTCCAGAAACGTCTCCGCTCCGGCCCGTTCCCTCGGTTTGCGCCATGGACCTTTCTGGCCCTGATGACAGAGACGATTCCGTTTCCGACGGCAATTCCGGTCTGCCTGATCTGACGCCGGACTCTGACGAGGACGAGGACGATGGCCAACTTGAAGATGGTGACTGCATCTTCTACACCTCCTTCCGCCCCTCGGAGGAGATACGTGCTGGCAGTACCGTCTCACAGCGTCTAGCTGAAGCCTTTGCCAGGAACTCTGCCCCTCCGCCCTCTGACATCCCGGACTGGGCTAAGGAGTTCCAGGACGTCTTCAACAAGGAGTCTTTCGACACGCTACCGGAACGGAGAGCCTGGGACCACGCCATCAAACTCGTTCCCGACGCTAAGCCCACCAACTGCAAGGTGTACCCCATCTCGCCTCTCGAACAACGCGAGCTCGACGCGTTCATCGAAGAAGGGCTGTCGACGGGCCGGATTCGCCCCTCTAAGTTTCCGATGGCGTCTCCGGTCTTCTTTGTGAAAAAGAAGGATGGCGGACTCCGCTTCGTCCAGGACTATCGGGCCCTTAACGCGATGACTGTCAAGAATCGGTACCCCCTCCCGCTGATCAATGACCCTATCAACCGGCTCAAAGGCGCTCGTTACTTCACCAAGCTCGACGTTCGTTGGGGCTTCAACAACGTCCGGATCAAAGAAGGTGACGAGTGGAAAGCGGCTTTCCGGACCAACCGAGGCCTGTTCGAGCCCTTGGTGATGTATTTCGGCCTGACAAACTCTCCCGCGACGTTCCAAACGATGATGAATGACATTTTTCAGGACCTCATCCTCTCCGGAGACGTATTCCGACCTTTGGAAACACCAGCAGATCGTTCAGGAGGTCTTACGGCAACTCTGAGAGCACAAGTTGTACCTCCAAGCGGAGAAGTGCAACTTTAAAAAATCGTTAATCAAATATCTCAGAGTCATCATCTCCCACAACCACATTGAAATGGACCCTGTCAAGGTCGCAGGCATCTCCGCTTGGCCGACTCCAGAAAACAAGAAGGACATTCAGCAGTTCCTTGGGTTCGCTAATTTCTACCACAGGTTCATTCGGGACTTCTCGGCCCTTGCGCGTCCTCTCTTTGCGCTCACCAAGAAGGACCAGCAATGGACTTGGGGCGATGCGGAGGCCTCCGCGTTCCAAGCGATCAAGGTCGCAGTCACCTCGGAACCGGTCCTGGCGATTCCGAACGACGCACGGCCTTTCCGACTCGAGGCGGACAGCTCTGATTACGCGACGGGGGCGGTTCTTTCACAATCCGCCCCGGACGGGAAGTGGCACCCTGTAGCATTCTATTCCAAAAGCTTAAATGATGTCCAGCGCAACTACGAAATCCACGACAAGGAGATGCTCGCGATCATCCGCGCACTCGAGGAGTATAGACACTTCCTTGAGGGCGCCGCACATCCCGTCGAGATTTGGACTGACCATAAAAATTGGGAGTACTTCAGGAAGACGCAGCACCTCAACCGGAGACAGGCCCGGTGGTCTCTGTACCTCTCCCGGTTTGACTTCACGCTGCACCACAAGCCTGGCCGCGATATGGGTCGGCCTGACGCCCTCTCCCGGAGACCCGACCACGGAGTCGACTCCGACAACTCCGATGTCGTCCTTCTGCGGCCTGAACTCTTCCACGTGCACTCGAGGGCGTTTCCGTTTCCGGTCCCGGCTCTGAACTCCTCCCGCGACATCCGTGATGCCCTCTCCGGTGAGCCCGACCTGGAGGAGCCTGTCGCACTAGCGGCCCGGCAACTTCTTAAGGTTCAAGGTCAAGCTCGAGGCCCCCGCTCTTCACGTTCTGACAAGTGGGCCGTCTCCGGCAGTCTTCTCCATTTCCGAGGGAAGATCGTCGTACCAAAGGACAGGGACCTCCGGAGACGCATCATCGAGCTCTGCCATGACACTCGAGTCGCCGGACACGCAGGTCGCTTCAAGACCTTGGAGTTGGTCTCCCGGAACTACTGGTGGCCCCAAATGTTTCGCCATATCGGCCGGTACGTTGCAACTTGTGACTTGTGCTGTCGTACCAAGGCACTCCGGAGACTGCCCCACGGAGAGCTGCACCCCACGGAAACGCCTCTGGAACGCTGGCATACCGTTT